CCCCGGTCCATGGACTGGCACTGGTCCGTGGCATACCAGAAACCAGGCCTCACAAACAAGTGAAGCCCCAAAACCATGCCCCCCTCTGTTCCGCAGAAAAACTTCTCTCCATGGAACCAGTCCCTGGTGTCCAAAAGGTTGAGGACCGCTGATCTAGAACAGCAAACAAAAAACAAAACAAAAAAACAAATCTGAAAGAATTATATAGGTTTGTGCTTTGTAGCCAATAAATATGTTTGGATAGTTAGATGCCAGATGGTCTCTCTCCTCAAGATGGCTTATTTGAAGTATCTGATCAAGGAAGTCTGTTTACTTATAGTGCTAGCTTTTTTTTTTTTTTTAAACAAGTTTTATTAATTTTTAAAACACACAAATTATCATTATTCATTACATGTTTAAACCTTTTTTCATTGTAAATTTAACAAGTCAGATAAATTATGATTCTGTTTTAAACCATTTCCATATAACATACAAAAACCTCTTATTCAATTTCTCTTTACTTCTCTTTACTCTTATTCAATATCATTATTATTATTATTTCATCTATTTCTTTCTGACTTAGTTACCATTATTCTCATTCTATATTTCTGCAAGTTTTTACTAATTCTCCCCCCAAAAAAAACATATACACACAACACACAAAACATAAAAAAAATCTTTTTGGAAAGTAACTTGGACCCAGGTATCTCTCTCTTCATGGACTTCAATTATATTCATGCTCATCTTACATATCATTACTTATTTTATTTACCATTCTAAGCCTTCTATATTAACTTCTCCACATATTTCACTCTTCTTAATTCTATCTTAATTAATCATCTTAGTTTGAATCATTATATTTGTATCTTTTGTCCATTTTTTATCATCCCTTTGTCTCATTCCTTATAAAAAGGAAGAAAATGAGTTTCTCCTGAAATCATTAATCAGAGTATGATGCCTTTCTATCTCCCCCCTAAGTTAATCAAATTAACCTTTAAGATAACATCCAATACCCAATCCGATTTTGCTTGGTACATTCTATCTAACTAGTACATCCAAAAAAATTAAATACATAATTAGACAATAAATCCAAATATTAAAAACAAATACTATAATAAAGATTTTATAATAACATCAATACCATAATCTTATTAAACTCTTTAATTAAAACAGTATTCTAAACCTCCCCTATTATTAAATTTTAAAGCCAATCATTATTAAACATTTTAACATTTTAATCTCTTATCAACTCTTAAACCATTACAATACTACCATCTCATCTTATGTACCTTGCAAAATCTTTTTAAAAAAATTATACTTTATCCATTATCCATAAAAAATTCCTTTTTTTCATTTAATTTCAAAACATTGTAGCTTTTCTCCACCTTTTCCCTTTCTTTCTTCTCCCAACAAACCTTTCTACCCCCCCTTCTTCTAGCCTCTGCCTTACTGGCTTCCCTTCTCTGTCGTATTCCTTTTCCCTTTTGTTTACTATCATCATATTGATTTTGCACCTTATTTTTCCCTTTCTTAAATGTTTTTTTAGATCTTAAGTCCTTTAGTTCTCTTCTTTTCTCTCTTCCTTCTTTCTTGATCAAATTCTGAGATTCATTAAAAATGGCTCCTTCCTTTCTTTCTTGTTCCTCTGCTGTCTTCATCTGTTGTAATGTTTGTTGATAGTTAGTAAGCGCCATTTCTAAAAAAAAGGAAAGCTTCTTCCACACCATCTTTACCATTTTTTTTTGCTTGTTCATATTCTTTTCTTAGTTCCTCAACAGAAAAAGCCATTATATATCTTTTCTTTTCTTTTCCCCTTCTTTCTTCTTACAACAACCAGAATATTCCAAAGAAAATAAAAAAAATAAAGCAGTCCCAAAGTTATCAGTCAGTCCAAACCAAGGCAGAGTTCTCACTTTCTCCTTCTGGGGTAATATCAATCAAAGAGAAAGAAAGTCCAAATCTGTTTAAAATCTTATTGCAATATATTCTAGTCTTCAAATCCTTAAGGCATCTCCTCCAACAAAGTCTTAGCATACAAATATTTTCTTTTTAATCCTCTCTCTTCCCACTCATCGCTTAAAACCAATTTTCACCTAAAAAAAATAGGTTTCTTAATATCCAGTTATTTATTCCGCAGGAAAAGAGGGAAAGCTATCCTTTCAGCACCATCAAACTGCCGCTTTTTTCCTCTTCTGGCAGGTATTATTCAGAAAGTCATACTTTTCAGGAATTTTATTAAATATGTCTTAGAGTCCTAGGAGCCAAGAAAAACTTTCTCCTCTCAAGCACTTTCTCCACTTCCTCCTGCGCATTCTTACCCGGCTGCCAGCTTCTTTGTGGAGGCCATTACGGACCGCCGCTGCACCGTCCTGGGAAAAGGGGGTTCTACCGGCCGGGGAGGGGGTCTGCAACACCCCCAAACCCCTCTCCGGATCCCCCCTACCTTCAGCTGCCCCTGCAGGGCAGCCTAGCTCCGTACCCGTCTGGGTCGGAGCCCCAAAAGCGGCTAGCGCGGCAGGGATCGCGCAGCTTCGCAAATCCCTGCCGCTCGCGAAGCCGACAAACCGGAAGCTAGTGCTAGCTTTACAAGAATAGTTGCAACTGGAACATTTGCAGTATGACTGAATTTAAATATATAAATTCTGTAAATAGGGAAGGGAGATAGAGAGTTCTTGCAACTCATGCAACCTGTTCACAGAAGCTTCCTAAAGCAGAGTAATTTAATACAGGAATGAGTTGAGAACTTTATAAAATTTCATCTCTTGAAATCCTATCCTACTCAGAGAAAGTTATTCCCCCTCTATGCACAAAAGAAAATAAAGCAATCTGGCAGCAAAGGAAATGTTTTTTTTCTGGACAAAAAAGAAGGGGATGGATTTGTCTTAGAGTTACCACTCCAGCATTGCAAACATCCATACAGGCATTAGATGACAGCAAACAGATATGTAACTGTGATAGCATCTTGTTGTTATGGTTAGCCGGCAGCAGGTGTGGACAGCTGAGGAGAGTGAGGACTCAGATGAGGGGCCAGGACCATTAGGGAGTGGACTGCTGCCTTCAGAGATTGTGGGGGCTGGCAGCAGCGATGAGGTTTCCGAGGAGCCTGTGCCAAGTGTGCGTGTGTGAAGGATTGCTCGCAGGAAAGAGCAGCTGCAGCAGCACGGGTGACTCGGGAGTAAGACTGCAAGGTATGGCCCCTCCTTCAAGAAGATAAAAGGCAGCTGTGAAGCAAACATTCTTTGCAGGAAGCAAAGACGTTTTGAAACTCAGCCTTGTGGACATTACAGTATCTTAAGTTGGTATTTGAAGACTCTTGTGTTGTGAAATATTTCTTATCTGTGACTCTTGGCAGTCTTGCACAGTTTTGGCAAGGTTTGTGCTTATCAAAGTTAATTAGTTTGCAGCAGCCTTTTAACCGGGGATTCGTAAGACTCATTAAAAGGTTTCTGTTCCCTGTGGTTATTGTTTGTCTTATTGGAAAAGGGTTTTTCTATCAACTGTCATTAATAGGGAGAATATCAACAATCAAGATGAATATATTATCCAGAATTTTATATTTGTTTCAAACAATTCCAATTAGGCTTGGAAAAGACTATTTTGAAGATTTAAATAAAATTGTGTTGAAATTTATATGGCAAGGTAAGAAAGCGAGAATAAAGTTAAAACTTTTGCAAGATGCTAGAATAAGAGGAGGATTTGGTTTGCCTAATTGGGAGTTGTATTACCAAGCTACAAATTTGATGTGGGTTAAGGAATGGATAACATTAAGAAATACTAGATTGTTGACATTAGAAGGACATGATCTGTTGTTGGGGTGGCATGCTTTTCTATGGTATAAAGGAACTAAAACACAGGGGTACTTTAGAAGACATTATATATGGGAGTCTCTGTGGTTAAACTGGGAGAAGATTAAAAGACAATGTTATTTGAAAATTCCAGTCTGGCTATCGACTATTGAAGCATTTTCTTATCCTATAATATACAAAAAGGAACAAACAGTTA